AAGTCCAAGTCTCTCACATGTTAAACACATTCAGTCTCTCCAGATATTCCCAAAGTCTTAATTTGTCCCAGCATCAACCCAGAAGTACAGATATGGGAAGCAAATCCCCTTTCCCCTGAGACACAGGGGCCTTCAGATGGATACAGAGACCCAGAAGATAACAAATGCCTTTTAGGTCATTCTGCCATTGTCTTGAACAAAACTAGGCTCTGGTCTATTCCTCTGATTTTTTTTTCTTTTCAAAAAGATACTTGGCCACCCAGTGCCAGTTGCTCACACCTGTAACCCTAGCTACTCAGGAGGCTGAGATCTGAGGATCATGGTTCAAAGCCAGCCTGCACAGGAACGTTATGTGAGACTCATCTCCAATTAACCACTAGAAAACCAGAATCAGCAGTGTGGCTCAAGTAGTAGAGTACTCACCTTGAGCTGAAGAGCTGAGGGACAGAGCCCAGGCCCACATTTCAAGCCCCACAACCACAGAATTCTTGTGAACATTCCATTTGTGGAGAACAGTCTTTTATCTGCTACCCACTTCAAAGCTCTTCCAGCATCTAGACACTCAGCAACACCCGTTGTTCTCTCTTAAGCATAGTTTTCTCATTCTTAATTATTCTGAAACAGGGTCCCTCTATGCAAGACTAAGCTGGTCTTGAACATACAATCTTTATTCAGTTTTTCCAGCCCTGGACTTACAGGTGTACACCACCACACCAAGCTTGATTTCGTTCTCTTGACATGGCCAAGCTAGGAATTTTCCAGTATTTAATCCTGTTTCTCTTTCAATTACAAATTTCATCTTTATTTTTTGTTTTCTCCCATTTAAGAGAAGCAAACAGCACCCTAAATGTTTTGCTGCTTAGATAATTCTTCCACCAAACATCTTACTTTGTTGCTCTTAAATGTTACCATTTCAGAGAGAGAGAGAGAAAAAAAAAAGATGGCCCTTCTGGACATTTGTGGAACCTCCTTATCTGTGACTTAATTCTAATACTCTTTTGTCTTCATGTTTCTACCAACATTCTCATTCCAACTGCTTAAATAATCACTGAGAATTCTGAGGTTTTCCTTGCTGTCTCCTGATCCTTCAGGAGAATTGTTGTGAACACTCCATTCATGAAGATACAGTCTTTCCTCTGCTGCCTACTTCAAAGCTCTTCCAGCCTCTAGTCATCTGGAAACCTAAAGCAATATCATACAGGACCTGGACCTAAATTTTACTGTATAATTAGAATATGAGGAACATAATGGAAAATGACATTTCTTTTGTCATCCTGCAACTTGGAAATAAGTATATAGTCTCTCTCTTTTTTTCAAACAACTGTCTTGTACAGTGATACAACTGTGCTGCCAAAAACTAGTAACATGGGCTTGGAACTATGCTGGCTATGGTGATCCTGCTCTACCTGGTTCAGCTATCCGACCTTGGCCTTGGCACTCCAACTCTCCCAGCTCAGCTTACTCATCGGTATGGCCTATCTTTTGGAAGGCAGTTTTCAGCTCTTTGTTTTAAAACCACCTCTGGCACCAATTTCTATCAGTCCATTTGATGTGGCTGTAATGAAACAATGTAGAGTACATAAATTGTGAAGGATAAAAAATACCTTCTCACAGTTCTAGATGTAGGAATTCCAAGATTAAGGCACAAGCAAGTTTGGGTTTCTGCAGAAGGCTACCTTAGGCTTCTAGCCTGGAAGAAATGCTGGATCTTCACATAGAAGACAGAAAAGCAAGCTGCCTGTGGGCAGCAGGAAGTCTCTTGCATAAGGAAGAAACCCTCCTGGCCTAGTCATCTTGTAAAGACCCTATCTCCTCATACTGGCAAGCACCTATTTGAACCATAGTGCCTTTGTAAGCAGATATTGCAGGTTTAGGAAGACTAGGAGGTCAAGTCAAACCACTGTGTATATTTTTTTTACTGTTCTGTTCAGTATGATATTGTACAAGTCTAGGACAAAGTAGAGTGACCTGAGAAAGGGCTATTTTCAGAAGGGTGATATTTTATATTTCTCAATGATGGGCTTCCTACCAAGCTTCTTTTTGAATAGAAATCTAGGATATAGGAGCAATGGGAATGTTCATTAAGGCTGTAAGATAACATTTGTAAATGAAGGATAGCAAATCACACTGAGCCCTTGTTTTCATTACTTCTGGAGGACCACATCCACAATCATTTTGCCACTCTGTGCTTGTAACAATACAGTACATCTTCTATTATACGTTTCAGAAGAAAAGGGCGTGTGGTTTCTCTCCACAGTGACAGACATGTTTTCTTGAACAATACCCAGTAAAGGTCACATTGGAGATTTGAGTCACAAGCCCTATGATTTAAATTCGAGGCTATGTTTAAAAATGGCCTGCCTAAGAGCTTGCCAAGTTCCATTAAAAGCCATGGTGTCATTATGGATTACCATTGAATAGACTAAGATCTTGCCGGCCATTGCCTCCTCTCTTAGTAATGCAGAGATTTTCTAATTTGTTTTTTTTTGTTATCATTCCCTGGCTGTGTTGTTATGATAGATACCAAATTATATAAATCCTACAAAACAATGTCTCATTTCATGGGCCACTTTTTCTTTTGCAAAGTGCATAATTTTTGGTATTTCAATGATTAGAGAGTTTGTATGAAGCCTGACCATTAATTATAAATGCTCCTTTCCTCACTGCAGTCTTTTGTTGTTCCACATATCCCCAATAGAGAGAATTTCCAACTTCTCTGAAGCCCCTGAACATGTTTTCCCACTAACATCTCTCATACAGTAGTGCCACGATTATTAGCTAGTGTTCAGTGTATCCTCACTCTGTGCTCCTCAATGTAATCTGTAATCTGTCTTTGTTTGGGAGGCAGTACTGGGATAATTCAAGGCCTGAGCACAGTCATTTAGCATTTTCACCCAAGATTAGCACTCCACCACTTAAGTCAAAGCTTTCCTTCTGGCCTTTTCTGTTTGGAGAGAAGAGTCTTATGGACTTTGCTGCCCTGCCTGGCTTCAAACTAGGATTCTCAGATCTCAGCCTTTTGAGTAACTAGAATTTTAAGTATGGACCATTATCAGCCAGCAGGTAATGTATCTTAATCCTCAAACAGCCTTCCAGATGATAGGCCATACAGACGAGTAAGCTAGGCTAGGAGAGATGGAGTGCGATAGTCAGGGTTAGACAGCTGGACCTGGTGGAGCAGGATCACCATAGCCAGTGTAGTTCCAAGCCCATGTTATTAACACTACCTTATAGTTCTTGGCAGCCTAGTTGTATCACTGTACAAGACAGTTGTTTGACAAAAAGAGAGGCTATCTACTTATTTTCAAGTTCCTGGAAATTTCTTGACTTATTGAGTCATAAATATTCAGTGCATGAGGACTGAGTTAATGCTTGCAAATAGCAGTTGGGATTTTTTTTTTGGCAAATAGGCATGCTAGTTTAGAATTATAACCTGAAACTTTGTGTTGGACTGGTGATAAGATAAAAGAATGCTAGAATATGAGAATGTCAGAAGAGTTTCTATTTATTTTACATTCTTATAACCTTGGTTAAAGTCTGTCCCAAAGCCTACCCACTCCATTCTTTGTTCTTTGTTCTTCCTCTTTTCATGCAAAGCTGAGCTGGCTCTGTCACTCTATTCCTTTTCCTCTTTCCCCATGTAATAATCCCAGGCTTCAGTTATGCACAACTTGAAAAATACTGTCAGTCATTCCCTCCTGTTTCTTTATTCATATCTTAAGCTTCAGTTGTCAAAAATAAAATAAAGAATTTACAGAGTGACTTGTGACCTTCCTGGCACCATTATTTCTTAGCCTTTCTGAGGTCCTTCCCAAGTTGTGTAGAAATGAACAAAAACTTCTAAGATTCAGACATGAGCCCATGGCACGCAAGTCTGGCACTTTGAGGGAGATTTGGAAGCACTTAGCTGGTGGGCACTGACCCTGAAACACGCTGTAAGTGTGGGTACTGGGACAGCTGGGGCAGAGAAACTGTAGGGGGTGTGTCCCTGAGTTGATGTCAGAAATGTATGGAGATAACTGACTAAAAATGAGAATAGCAGTCTGGAGGGAGCCTGACCAAGTCTTCCACCATACTTAGCTTCATGTGGAAGCAGCCATGGGGAGAGATAGTCTCATCACTCTGCAGCATCCTTGAATGTGGGCTCTCATCCTAATTACATCAGAGAAATGGAGCTGTGAGTCCTGCAGAGGGGCCAGAGGAAGATGTGAGATGCCCGCCCATTTGCCGTCTTTGGCTCAGCAGAGCACACAAACCTGCAGCATCACACCAGGGAGCTCCTTGGTTTCCAGAAAACATGTTCTCCGCAGAAGGAAGAAAGTGGGAAGATAAATCTCAGTGCATGCAAGCTAGTTTTCTGCATTCCTGTGGCCTGATGGAATAGGACCATATCTGAGACATGAAACAAAAAGAAATTAGGAAACACATTTCATATTGTATTAATCATGTGGCATATCGGTGGGTGTGACCTGTTCTCTCATTTTTTCTGTCTATGAAATGCTTTTCTAAATTATGTAGGCCACAAGTGTGAAAGGAAGGGAGGATCAATCCTAATGCCTTTGAGCTTTAGGAGAGACACAGGCCCTAATGCTGAGCTCAGCAAAGTGTGTGTCTGTTTTCCTCAGCTGTAAAATGAAGTGAGTACTCCACACTTACTGGACAGATGTCCCCATCAAAGAGCCCTGTGGATGAAGTCCCTGCCCAGAGCCAAACACTGTGAGCACACAGGGTATAGCCTAGTTGCTCCTTCAGTCATAGCCTGCTGTAGAAGTGTGCTTAGTTACAAAATCCTCCTGCCTTTCAGCAATTTCTAAATACAGTGCCCAAAGACTATTTATAAATAAAAAACTTTGGGGTACAAAAATTAATATAAATTAAGAATGTCATGCTAATAATTTCTACATGTGAATATATAGGACTTCTGATCAACAGGGACTAGCAGTAAAATTACTTTGAAGGTTCTCCAATGGCATGTTTTTTTTGCTTCCAGAAGCTTCCAGAAGCATCCTATCTGTCTGACCTGAACTGTTCTCTATGGAGCTTCTTTTGTGAGCAGCTTCTATTGAAAAGACCTTTATGAATACATTGTTTCCATCAAACTTCCAAAGAACACATTTGTCTTCAGATCTACTGGCATATTAAGGTTTGTGGGTTTTGTTTTTCCATTTTCTTATTAAAGATGTCAAATTTTAAAAGATTCTTTTAAAGTGCATAATACTTATACAACTTTCAGTATGAACTTTGCAAGTAGCTAATGCACAAATTTTAATTTTTCTGATTTCATTTAAGGTGGAAAGAAATGTGCTATGGTTCTTATGCTCATTATTGTGTATGTGTGATGTTGCAAGCATATTGGAAATAAAGTAGAAACCTATTTTATATCTAGATTCACCAATTCTAACCAAATAAATTCAGTGAGTTTATATCAAATATCAACAAGTATCAGAATTGGATATTTTTAAGTAGTCAATATGTGTGTGTGTGTGTGTGTGTGTGTGTGTGTGTTTTAAGCATTGAAGTTTGACCCCTGGGCTAGGGTTCAAATATGCTAGGCAAGTATTTACCACTGGGTCCATGCTACATACCCTTGTGTTTTGTGTTTGGGCTTTTTTTTTTTTATACAAATTCTTTTTTATTGTGAAAATACTGTACAGAGGGGTTACAATTACATGGGCAAGATATGAGTACATTTCTTATCAAGCATTGCAGCCTCCTCCTTTGTTTACCCTTCACATCACTTCCCAGCCTCCCCCCCCCCCCCCACCCAATCCTTCTCCTTCCCCCACCCACCCCCCGCCCCCGCACCGACGTTGTAAAGCTCGTTTTGGACATGACAACTTGTACTTCTCATTGTTGCAACAGGTCCACCTGTATCCTTAAACAACTGGTTTTTCCCCATGTGTTTGGGCTTTGAAATGATGTCTCCCTAACATTACCCAGTCTACCCTTAAACTCACAATCCTCCTGCCTCCACCACCTGAATAGTTAGAATTATAGGTGTGACCAGGACACCTGGCTTATAAAATATGTTTGCAAACATGAAAACTCAAAACTGCATTTGTGACTATCAACAAGTATCATCATTATGACATTTAAAAAGTTACAAAATCTCAATGGACAGAGTATTTTCATTTCGTTCTACAAGGAGGTTGCTCACTGTATATTCAATAAATGACAGAATATACAGAATATAGCTTGTTTACAAGTGTGTGTGCATGTGTTAGCAGTGTTAAAAACGAACCACTTTGTGGCTTACTCAAAGAAAACAGCTTGGTAGTAGACCAGGCTGCCATTTGGAAATGTATTTGCCTTTGAGATGAATACCAGGTAACACATTTTTATTTTGAAGATTCTTTCTGACAAAGACCTAACTAAAGGCTATATTCACTACATGCATCTTTCATAGCCAGAAAAAATAAGGAGGCTATGAGGAAAGGTCCAAGATACTGAGTGGACAGAAATTAAATGAAGAGCCAGTGCGAAGGAACAGGATACTTTCCAGCACGGCATGTCTTTTCCCCAAAGGCATTTATTTCATTTGGTTGGACTTTTATTCTGTCTAAGGTGACAAATGTTTCTTTCCCTTTATGGTCCTTTACTGTGTTTCCCTTTTTTTAAATTTCTTTTATTTCTACTGAGAAATCAAAGCAGCTTTTACTGCAGTACTGGGCTAAATTCCAGGTTTCTCATTGTACCGTTTGTTGCTGCTCCTCATAGTTAGCTCACATTGGAGGGTGAGGCAGCGGCTGTTTATTGAGGGATGGGGTACATGGGAAATTTCCCCTCCACCTTCCATCCCCAAGTCTGTCAACATACAGTCTATTGGACACTAATAACTGTATCCATGGAAACGGAAGTGCTGGGAAGAACTTGAGAAGTTACCTAAGTGCTTGGCTTGAACTGCCTGAAACCAGTACAGTTCTATTTGTTTTTTATTTGGTGGGGAAGCAGGAGGCAGAATTGAGACAGGGTTTCTCTGAATAGCACAGGCTGACTTCAAACTTGACAGTCTCCTATCTCAGATTCCTAAATGCTAGGATTACAGGTATGTTCAGCCATATCTGATGAGTCTGTTTGCTTTTCTTTTGTTTTTTACTTTTTAAAGTTATTATTATAAAGGTGATATAAAGAGGGGTTACAGTTATATAAGTGAGGTAAGGTGTACATTTCTTTTTGGACAATGCCACCCCTTCCCTCGCTCTCCCCCAGTCTTTCCCTTCTATCCCCACATGTAAATTGTATAATTTATTTTCAACATAGTGTCTAGTGAGTATCACTGCTGCATTTGTTCCCCTATTGTCCCTATTTCTGTTGCTTTTAAACGTTTATACCAAACAATACACTTTCCCTTTCTTTTACATTACAGTTAAAACAAAACCCTACAAAATTTGAAATGTATCCCATGTCAATTTGTGTGTGTGTGTATGCACACATGTCTTTTGGGTTCTGGGGCTTGAATTCAGGGCCTGAATGCTGCCCCTGAGCTTTTGTTGCTAAAGGCTAGCTCTACCACTTAAGCCACAGGTCCACTTCTGGCTTTTTGGAGTACCTCAGATTTTCCTAGCTAGGCTGTCTTTGAACTGCAATACTTAGATCTCAGCCTCCTGAACAACTAGGATTACAGGTGTAAGTCACCATCTCTTAGCTTTTAACAAAAATGTTTAAGAGTGTGGTTAAGCATGTAGATATAAACATTGTAAATGTGTCTTTTGAGGACTTCATTGTCATACTTTTTTATTTTGCTTGATTGAAAATCTATATTGGCTGAATAGCAGATATCTGTATTTCTCCCTTCACCTGTGGGTAACTATCATTGTACTTTATTTTTCCCTGAGTTTGACTATTTGGGATTCTGTATGTATCATGAGATATTTGTCCTCCTGATACTGGCTTGTTTCGTTTAGCATAATGATCTCAGTTTACTCATGTGAACATATGGCAAGATTTTCATCTTTTGTATGTCTGCATAATGTTCTTTCTTTTATTCACCTGTTGATGAACATTTAGTTTGTGGATATGAATCTTGACTATTGTGAATAATGCTGTAACAAACATGATATATAAATATCTACATAAGATCCTTTTTCTTCAAATTTTAGATATATATTTCTAAAATTACTAGATCACATAATAATTCTATTAAATTTGTTACCTTATTTCTTTTTCCATAGACAAGCAATTTTTATCAGAGTCCCTCTGAATCCTCTTAAACTTAATTTTTAATCTCCCTTTTCCCTATGGTAGAAATATACATAACATTCTATAAAAATCATAATTTTAACTATTTTTCTCCTTTTCTGCCGCTTTAGTTCTTCAGATCTTACTTCAAGATGAGTTAAAGGGGCTTTAAAAATTTCTGTTGATGCTTCTCAGTTGAGACATTTTGACATTTTTAGTTTGCCCATTCTGGATAATAAAAAATCATGGCATCATACCTTTCTGTATGTTTTTTGTTTTGTTTTGGAAGCTTTACTACCCCTGATTCTCATAAATGTAAAGCACTAATTTTGTTCATCAGTCATGGTGACATCTTCCTTCTGCACTGCAAAGGAGGTCTTTCATACTACAAAGACCTGTCTCCTGGTTGACAGCACTGAAATTGGTACAGTGGTGTGTTGGGCAGAGCTGGGTCTAGATACACCTCTCTAACTCTATGTATAAGGTCTTTTACTTCATCATATTTCCCTTCTAGGCTTACACCCATTTTTTAGTGTTCCAGAATCATACTAACCTGCATATATGAATGGCCTTTTAGAGAACTGAACATTCTAGTTTGGTGTTAAAAAAAAAGTCTTCTTGGACTGATACAAGAACATAGATAAACAAAAAAGATTAGAACAGCTAAGCTCAGGAAATGGCAGTGAGAAGTATAGGATGCAGATGATTGCAAGGTGGCAGGTTGGTTTCCAATAGCAGATGGGGTGGAAAAATCTGTAATCTGAAGGAAAACTAAGAATAGGTCAGGGAATGAAGACATATTTTTTCACTTGATTTTCACCATGTACCCTAATTTCTGCTCTTTTCTCTGGGCCATAGGCTTCCCGAGAAATCCAAGGATCAGCTCATGGGGACAGGGGCAAGGGATTCCATCTGAATCTCCCCTGTCAACTGTCCACCTACTGTCCACCATCCACATCTCAGTCTTCTTCTTTTGTTTGTTTCTGGTCTCTCTTCCCTTTGTATGCAGACTTGATACCTGGCTGCCGCTTTCAAGGGTTCAAGTAAAGTCATACATTTTTTTAAAAGAGAGGATAAAGAAATACTTGACATTCAGGAATTTTCTGCACTCAAAGCTTTACGAAGGATCTGATATCCTGAGTCTTTTCCATACTATGGGAAAGCTTCTCCAAGGAAAACAAACTTCCATTTACTGTTCTTTTCTTGGGGTTCCTGTAAGGAGTGATTGCATTCCCTGGTTCAAAGATTACTTAATGACTAAGTGAGAAAGACTGCTGACTTAGGGTAGTCAGTGCTGGGTAGGATGCATGTGATTAAATCTAGTGTCAGCTTTGGCCAGCATAGAATGTACATTATCAGCACAGTCCTTCAGCAAAACTGAAGGAGCATAGTCTGTTTTCTAGTAAAATGAAGCTATCATCTATCCATACAAGGTTATGGATGTGGAGAGAGAAAAACATCAGAAAACATCAGAACATTTCCATTATCATGGTATTAAATTAATAAGGCTTTGTGACTGAATTCCTGCATCAAGCTTTAAAAGGTTGTATTTTTTTCCTTTTTCTGCCTGTCATCTTTTGTGCATAGGAAGGACACCAAGTTATATTTAACTCTCAGAGTTTCTCATTTCCTGAAATGCAGTACTAGCTCTATAAACATGGAAGAATAAATACTCACTTTATGAGAATATGTTTCTCCACTTGTTGAAAAATAGCATATAATAAAAAATACAAGGATGTAATATTGAAAATCATAGATCAATATGCCCTCTTATTAGGGGTGTATATCTAATCCATATGTAAAGTCTGATTTTTCAGAAAAATATGTGCTGTGTAATACCACTTGTGTCCGTGATAAATCCACCTCTCCCCCATATTTAAGAATATATTTCAAAGGACTTTTGCCACACTAAGTATTTTCTACTATAATCAAAAAATACTCCCTGGTTCATCACTTTTAATTCTA